TTCTTCTCTATGCCACATAGTGAACATCTGTGCTTTTCTTTTTTTTTGTTTTCTTTCTTTATATGTATGTAAGTTTGTGCATTGTTATTGTAAATAGAGATATAATGACATACATTTAAATGTATTTCGTAAACATATGTATATGTGTGTAGTTAGGTTCACTGTACATTAAACTCGCATTACAAAAACAAGAACAACAACAACTTCTTTCCGTTTTTTGTGTTTTGTTATATTGTTTTCATCTTTACATACAACTGCTCATATTTTCTAACTTATTCAAATATATGCATCGGTTTATTTCATATTGTATATTTTATTTTTTATGAAAGATAAAAAAAAGGACATAAAGTAGAATAATAGACAGTTTTAAAAGAGAATGAATTTCTATAGATTATACAATAATCATTAAAAAGATTTAATTATGGATTTTTTTCTTATCATGCCAAGTGTCAGTTAAGACATCTTTTTAATAGATCCATATGTTTTCTGTCATTATAATACATATTTGACATGAATGATAGATTGACAGGATATTCATGGGTGGTTAGATGCGTATGTCTTTTTAGAATGAGACTTTTCTCGGTTGTATCATAATCGATGAATCGAATAAATAAAGAGTGGGTGTGGGTTCTTTCTATACCGACACACACACACTCACATCCTGTTATTTATGATTAAACAAATGGCAAGAAATCAAAGTTATTCCGGTCTTTTCTATCCTAATCTTTATTTCTTGAATAAAATATAGAAGAACTACAATCCTTAAAAAGATAAAAGTTATGTTTAACATTTGTTTTTATTCAAAAGTTTTCGAAGCAGGTTTTTTCTTTTCACATACAATTTTCCAAAGACCTTCGGCACGTTCTGCAGATGATTTATCAGGATCGATACGACATTTCAAACGAATTTCTATTTTAAATTTTCCCATAGGAATTTTTTCATGATGAATTTCTGGATTTATTAATGTTTTCTTAAAATCATCACGATTGCCGTCGATAATAATTGCTTCTTCCAAAATTTTAACATGTGATTCACCTTGTTTAAAACCTGCTAGTTCAACAATAGCATGGATTTCTGTATCAGTCTCATATAGATTATAAATAGGTTGCCATTGCCCATTATCTTTTGAACCAATACCTATAAAATAACCTGCATCATCATAAAGAAGTTTTGGTGAGAGAATTAATGGATAAGGATTTTGTTCAAGATCTTCTAGTTCTCTTCGATGAGTAAGTACAATATGAGGTTTTCTAACATGCATTTGTACTTGTAATTTCCGTGAATTATTATCGATTAAATGATTATCTTGTTCACGATTGTTGGTAAATAATTGTGGAAGCTTGGTATTAACAAAATTTATCATTTCATTGATAACATCAAGATTTCTTCTACAATCCTGTGCCGTTTGTAAAATATTCATTATACCATCAATAGATTTTCTGTTCCATTTATTCCCTGCTTCAAATCCATCTCTTGCAAAAATGAAATGACGAATTGTGATACCATTTTGTTTAGAATGATAAAAATCGATATCAGTCGATGTACGATTAACTTGTAATTTCATTATATCAGGTTTAGCATCATTAAGATCTTCAACTTCTTCTTTTATTATTTTATTCGCATCTTTAATTGTTTGTACATCCATTAAATTGTGAACAATAATTATATTTTTATTTGAATTAAAATTTTCACAATGTTTTACTACTTGTTGAATATATGATTGATCTGTAGCACGTAAACGATTAACAACAATAATGATGTATGAACATAAATTAAGAGCTATTTCTCTTAGAAGGGCTTCTGTAGCTTTTTTATCATCAAGTTTATCTCTTGGTGTGGGAGTATCAGTACCAGCAGTATCAATAAAAATTATATTTTCAGCTAAATTTCGTCCTGCTGTAATAGATATACCCTCTGTGTGTACTAAATTACCATTAGGTAATTGAGTATTACAAAGTTGATTAAGTAAAAATGACTTGCCGCGATTGTATGAACCAACAACTGAAACGATTACACCACGTTTATCGACAGGTGTTGATATTTTTGATATAGTATCCTTTGTATTTTGTCCAAGTATAATATCCCAACCAGTTGTTGATAATGCAGTAATACTGTTAATACGAATAATAATATCATATGGCGTAACAAGTGGCTCTGTAGGAAATTCATATATATAAGATGACTCTTTAGGTGTTGGATATATATAAGTTGAATCCAGAGAAGCTGTCTTAGTTTCTTGTTTATTACCGAGTGGTTTATAACCACCACGAGATTTTCCAAAAGCATTATAAAGAATCGGAAGTAATGCCGCCATACTAAATGTGAAATAAAAACATTATAAAGATTAAAAGTTGAGTTTTACCCAAAAAGTAGTGATCTTAGAGAGATGTGATCTGGAAGGGTGTGGGCATGAGTATTATATCTATCACACACTCACACCCATCCACCCTCTTATAATAGAACTCTTTAAACTGATATCACCTATTTAAGCTAAACTTATTTTTGTACTCTTTTCATATGTCAATAATCCTAATCTATGAGTGTTTACAAAGACATGTACCTTTTATTATGTTTTTCGACCTAAATTGAATAATTGTGAAGTAAAGATTGATTTTCTTATAAAAATAAAACTCATATAACTTAAAAAGAGACATTTGCGTTCTTCAAATAATTCCGTTGATTTTAAATATAAAAAAAATGATTAAAGAACGGCACTTACTCTACTTTGTTATCTTTATGTTTGAATATTTATTTTCATAATTGAATCTGTCATGTATTTTATACTTTTTTGATTTTTATATTACTGTAGAATTAATGGCACAACCTTTTACAAAGGAAGTAAAAATGTTGGAATTTTATCACTATAGGTTAAGAGTGGGCATGAAAAAGAACTACCATGACGCGTTTCGATCTTATTCAAAGATCTTGATGAATGGCAAAAGAATCTACATAAAAATATACAAAATGAATAAATTAGAAAACGTCAATTTTTCAAGTGATATCATCTAATATCAGTAACTTATATTATCTACAAAGCAGGTGATTGATCGAAGAATATAGTAATGGATTTAGTTGATTAATATTATTCAGAAAAAAGAAGAAGTAGAAATGAATCGTTGTATCATTTTGCGATAGTAAAAGTAAATGCGCCAATCCAAACGGTCGCCTGTGTGAAGTGTGCCATTTTCTTACAATATGTCATGATGTGCCATTTTCTTACGATATGGCATGGTGTGGCATTTGTCTGCGGCATTTTCTGCAGTAGGATACTGAATATTCCGAGTACTAAATAAGGGACGAGAAATATTCAGTAGAGAAGCGATTTCTTAAATAAAAAATACATAGTTACTATCATACTCCAGTCTAGAAATCTCTTCAGTAAATTAAGAGAAACTTACCCTAAGAATGAAACTTGGGAGAGTGAGGGTAAGGGCGAGTGTGGGTGGATGATTGTGAAGTTAGTCTTTTTTTATCTACCCCTTCACACTCACACCATTCATAGAATAATATCTGATCGTTTGAAACTTTATAAGGTTACTGCTCGTTATACATGTAAACAGCGGACGGATTCTTCAGGATGTGAGTGTGAGGTGTGAAGTCATACTTTTTTTACTCACACACCCACACCACACCCTCAAGATGGTTTGTTCAAGTAATTCTTTATAAATAATAATTTTATCATTACACCAGGGATCATTAGAATCTGGTCGAATTTGTTTGAGATGCTTACGTAAATCATTAGAACTTGTTAAAAGACTATTTTCAAGATTATTAAACATTTCGTCAACAAAAAACATCAATTTCGTTTGATTTATTAGTATTTGATTCAAGTGTGAGAATGAGAACTAATATCTGAAAATGTTTTATTTTCTATTAATTACTTATGTGATTCTATCCTAGAAATAAAATATTTATTAAATTATTTTTCATTTATCTATTAAAATCTAATCTTATTCAACAAAAGAATAATATTACTAAATCACACAATCTGCAAATTTCCACTATAAAATTGGAAAATATTTTATTCACATTGTGTATATATTCAAGAGAAAAACAAAAAAAAAGAAAATACATATTACCGTTTGAATACTAGATATATTAATAAAAATAATCTAGAATAAAAGTTGAATATACGAATAAATGATTTTAGATTTTTCCTTAGAGATACATAAATAAATAAATACTCTAATTGTAACTAAAAAAAAGTGCTTATAAATTTAAAAATTTCACGAACTTGTTCTATAATGTTAACAATTGTTCTTGCATTATCCGCCGTTCATTCAATAATATTTTTAACAATAGATCTTACTTTTTCAAACATAGAATTAATATAATCAGTTGTTCTATTCATACTAATCGATGAACAATAAAGAAATTATCGATATCGTATCATTTGCATGCATAATCGGATTTTTGAATATTTGTAGGACGATATGTTCTGATTTCATCCCGAAATTTGATGCACTTGTCTTGTTACACCAACAATAAAGTTTTCTAATTCATGATCAAGTTATTGTTCCAGAATCGTAATATCGATATTATCACGATTTCTAACTTCTTCTTGAAGTGCATTTCCAAAACATCTATACGCGATTGAATATAAGATCGTAAAGGCGCTGCATATGTTGTTAAAAAATTCATGATTGAATAGAATATTCTCTGTTATTTGCTATTGACTTTAGTTGAAGTTGAGAAAAGAATGAAAAAAAAGTCTTTTGAGTTTGAGGAAAAAAAGACAATCTCACACAGGAAATTAAGTATATGTCTTTTAATTAATGTGTATTGATAGTGTGATATATGAAAAGAAACAGATGAAGTAAATAAAGATCTAAATTAAGTTTTTATGGTGATTGACTATGTATTAGAATATATTATCTATTCGCAATTAGTATACATAGAAGATTCTATCTTTTTATTTCTAAAGATTTTAGTAAGAAAAACATTTTTCTTATTATTCATAAAGGTTCTACATACATGTATATAGTTTAATGAATATGACGTTGATAAATCTTATTTAATATTCAAATTTTATATTTTATTTTATTGAATAATTAGTTTTCAATAAGGTTCACTATATTTTATCATATTCATATTGATCTGCACGTCTGTATTGCTTAGAAAAATATCTTTATACTTATACTGTACTAGATAATGATTTGAAAATTATTTTATTTATTAATCTTCAATGGCTGATCACATAAGGCATAATCTATTTTTCGGTGTTTCGATAGAACTTAGTAAATAAATTTAATATTGTAGATTATCTAAAGTCAATTATTTATTGTACAAAGCTCGAAACTAATATAATTCTTTTCAACAACAAACTTTTTCTTGAATTGAAATTCGGTATAAATAAACTGTACAATGTCCATTTTCTTTAGTACTAAGAAACTTTTATTTCGTATTATTGATATAAAATTAAATTAAACCAACAACTTCAAAATCTTTTCAATTTGATGTTTTTTTCTTATTATATCATTTGTATTTATATATGTATATTGAATTAAATGTGTCAAATAATTTTTCTTTTATTTATATTTAAAATATATAGGTGTGCGTGATTAAATAAAAGCAAAAAATACCAATGAAGAAGCAAGCGAAAAGCTAAGCAAAATAAATATGAGTGTATGCAATATCTTTCTGGCAAATTGTAGCAATCTGTTTTCTCAAAACAAAGTCATGTGTATACTTTTCATAGATCTTTTAAAGAATATCACATCGGTAAATGATGCACGTTCTGTATTCCAAAAATACGAGTAATCAATGTCTTTCATCGTCTATGTGAGTGCTTATGGTAAATTGTAATGCTTATCAATGAAGTAGTAATTATGCTTGAACAAATGGCACCACAGCGTTATGTTTTACTGTACATCTTCGAATACAAAACATAATAAATCGAACTGCTCGTGGTATGATCAGTTTCAATACTGTTATTAATCCTCCAACCAGGCCAATCACTGTCGTTATTATATAGATTAAACCAT